AGAGAACTTCAGTGGGGACTCTGAGAGAGCTGCTAGAAATATTATGTGCTGCTTGAAGCTGCGAGTTCAGGGTAGGATGTGAGGGCATGAGAAGCACTGTCCAAATGCTCCTTCGACCTTCCTGGCGTACAGAGAACCAGGAGCTCATGAAAATTATCAGAGTGAATTGTAATTTTTCTGTTTATGCATGCCTGTGAGCTCCTTCAGGTAAGGGATTAAATTTTATTCTTCTCCATAAATCTCAGCCCATATACCTACTACGGGGTTGCTATATAGGACGTACCCAGTAAATGTTTTAACTGAACTGATGGGACTGGAGAGAGAGGAAAAGATCTTGTTTTTTTTTTGAAGAGTTTGAACCTCCCAGAGTCCTTGAATAAGGCCTAAAAGAGAAAATCAGCGAGACCTGCTCATCAAAGCATCAGTCAGCTTTGGTCCCAGCAAACCAAAAATCAAAGAGAGTGCCACAATTTCCCATTGCCCTGAAGGCATTCTAGCACTCAGCAGGGTCTAATAATTTGAACAAGGGGACCACTTCAGGCCTGCAATATTGCAATTTTTGCAGCACTGATGTGTGTCATTTGGGGCAAAGTTTGACACAGGATCAGAAATAAAAGCAATATGTTGTCTAGAGTTGTTTATCCAACACAACAAATGGACTGGAAGATATGTGTATGAAATTGCATTTATCATCCATACTTCACCTGAACCAATTAAGCATCCATCCTCTGCAATATCATCAGCCACATGGGGCCAACCTCTCCATTAGAAGTCATAAGAGCCCAAGGTACTTTCAGGGCCTCTCAAAAATGTGTTAATTTCTTTAAAAATCAGACGGAAAAATGAGCTTTTAGGTCTCAGAAAACATTGAAAGAGATAAGAATAATATATTCATTTTTATATCAATGCAGTTATGAAATATAATTTTTATTTAATTAATTAATTTATTTTGGTGAAGGATAGGTCCCACAAAAGCAAAAGTTATAAACTCAACCCTGTTACCACACGTGGCAAGAGTAAATCTGGTGTCATCAAGGGGATAAAAATCCTGTTTTCACAAAAACATCAAATAATCTACTAATCATAGATGGGTGGATTGTTTTCAAGGACATATAGATGAAGTTGGGTGTTAGGCTGGAGGGGGAGGCATGCGATGGGTGCGCTGAGTTGGAAGGAACCACAATCCTACATGTTTTCTGGAAATGACCCTCATTTTCTCTCTCAGAAGCCGACTGCTCTAGCTAATTAGCAAATCAAAAGAAATAGAAACAATTCCAGACCTCAGCACAATCAAATTAGTGGAGTTATTTGAGGATACCACTTTCACACAGTGTAATCATGCTCTCTTTGTTTTGGTCAAAGGAGTGAAAATTGTCTTGCAAACCGAACACCCTCTTCTCTGACCAACCAGCTCTGTGGAGAGTGGCATCCCCTATCTGCTCTCATCAGTTTTATACATGATGGTTCCTACGAAGACAGAAATGCACAATGTACAATTAAACAATACTCATCAAGCTTCCCATACAACAAGGACTCTTTAAAAATACATTTGACTTTTAAGGTGATTCAGCAGTCAAGCCATTAGTGCACCATCTAAATCAGGACTTGGAAAGTTTATTAAAATAGGATTTTTAACCTGATCCCACTTTCCTCTGCTTATAAAGAATCCCACTGGACTCCTTAATATTCATGCTATTAACCTGAAAGATTCAAACGGCCTTTCTGGGAGGAAAGGCTAGACCAGGTAGCCCCACAGACAGGAGTTACAGATGGAATCACACCGAGCCCAGGCAGGCAGAGTGACTGTGGATCCTGAACAGCTTCAGAAGAAGCAAGCTCTCTCTTTCTCTCCCTCTCTCTCCATCTCTGCTTCTCCTGATCTCCCTCTTCCATCACATATTTGGGGGAAAGAAAATAAACAAAAATATCAAAAGGAAACATAAGCAAACCATTCAATTACAGAGAGCACTGCACTAGGAATCTAGTTTTTCCTGGAAGGGTAGCTCCCTTGGCTACATTGTCCCATCTATGGTGCCTAATTCTTCCCATTCACTCACATTCATTCATGGCTTTAAACTTCTATGCCTTTGTGCTGGTAAAATGAAGAAATCATAGTTTCTAAGAAGGTTGGTGCAAGAACAAAACATGCAACTCATGTGCAGCACCTGGAACAAAAGCCTGGATTGCATCTCAGCTGGTGTTATTACTGATTGTTGACCAAGCTCTCAGGTCAGTTGCTTCTGTCTCTAGGTCACTCCTTCAGCCTTTATCTTCTGCAGAACACAGTTTACAACTTAACTGATATCAGTGAGTTTCAGTAAAGATGGGTTATTGTGTTAGTCTTGAGATAAGATGAACGGTGCTAGTTTTCCTTGACATGAGATTTTCTGCTCCCTTAGGGCAGTGGCCATGTCTTCACTTTCCATCTCTTCCTCAGCACCTGGCATTGTGTTGAACACATGCTAGGTGCTTGATAAAGACTTTGGTAGCTTAGAATATTAGCAGCTTAGGGATCAACTACTAGAACCCTCTCATTTTCCAGTTGATGACATTGAGTAAAAGTGTCTTACTTAGGCCACACACCTAAAAGTGACAGCCACTTTTCCAGTTGCCTACACTGTGTCTCCTAGGAGCCTCCATTCTTACAATGACAGTTGAAATGAAAACACATCTGACCTAAACCATGACTCCTTGAGGGAAGCATATTTTACAAACTTTTTTTTTGAGAGTATACGCTGTTTCAGACACCATGCAATGTTCTGGGAGAGATAACTAAATCATGGGCCCCATCATGGTCCCCATGCTTAAAGCATAACCTAGTGGGGAAGACAGATCTCCAAGCAGATATTTTCAATACAGTGCTTGCGTCAGAGCTGAGTCCTGGTGATATGTAAACGCCAGTGAGGAAACCTAACTCAGGCCCAGCAGAGCTCAGGGAAGGCTGCTTAGAAGAAACGGCAAATGTCTTGGCAGAGACATAAAGCTAAATAAGATCAAAACAGCCAATTAATACTTTATTATTTACCTAAACATAGAAATATTGATCAGTGATCAATGACTGTTGGCTGAAATTTAAAAATGAGAGAAGTTAAAATTTCAATCCTCAAATTCTCGTCACTTGCCAGATCTGCAAGTGAAGCTTCTTACAGAGACTCAGGCCTGGGTCCTGGGGTTCTAGTTCCTTTTTAGGACTTGTAGTGGGGAACTAAGCAGATTAGTTAGCCTGCCTTTGGCTCCCAGGGCGCAAATGGAATCCCTGCCAGTCTTTGCATCTCACAAATGAGTTGTGAGATTCAAACTATGGGCACGAAAGCACTTTGAACTCTTAAAGAAAAGTAATCATACCAACTTAGAACATCAAAGCCGCTTCCTATTTTGAAGAACTCATGATCTGCACTGGGCTTAGCTGCTGGTAGGAGCTTAAGGACACTAGTAATTGGCAAGCGTTTATCTTAGGCTTCCATTTGACCCCACAACCTCATACATTATTTTACACAGTTTCATAGAATGCGGAAAAAAGCACTTCTTTTAAAGCTAATGTAAATTTAAATGCTAAGGCTTTTCAAAGTAGGGCTTTAAAGTGACTTTTTAAAATTTATATATATATATATATATATATATATATATATATATATATAATCTAAAATGGGCATGTCAACATGTCTGGCTCAAAGAAGTAGCCAGGGTCGTTAAAAGCTTATTTTCCAAAATAAGCCTTGTTCTGGCCTGCCAGATGTTACTGGCTTTATCAGATAGCCAGAAAATGGTGATCATTGCTTTGCTTTCTAAAAGGGAAGCCGGTAACGTTACAGGAGTGAAGGGGTCAATTTCCTATAGGAGCCATTCACTAGATGGGAGAGTAGTTTTAAACAAAGTTGAAGATTTTTTAAACTTAAAAGACAAATTCGAATTCTTCCAAATATTTTATTCCAGTTTTTAAGATATGGAAGACCTACTGAAATCTAAAACTAGATTACTTTGATGTTCATTTGGCATTTTTCTTTTCTGTTTCCTTTTTTCTTTTTTTTAAACGTGTTTGCTGACCTGCCTTTGAGAGCGACTTGCTTTGGCTCCGATAAGCGGGTAGGCAGGCAGCCAAGCTTCTCCAAGAAGATTCCAACCCCACGCCCCTCGAAATCTTAAATCTTAAGTTGAACTACTGGATGCTGGTCGAGTTCTCACAGAAAACCTCCCAGCCACTGGAATCGGGAGAAGAGGCAGGGAGACCCTGCTTAATTTCAGAGCTGACGTTTGCAATCCTGGCGCACCAGCAAAAGCAGAGCTGAATTCTCCGCGCTCTCCTGGTAAATGTGCTTCCACTCGCGGACGCGAAACCGAAGGGCGTGTTCAATGGCGACAAAGAGCGCTCGGGAGCCGGCTCCTCGCGCGGATCCGGGCTCAGGCTGCCTTGCCGCTGGCTTCCCAGCCTAGCAGCGGTGCGACCTCGAGAGGATGGCTCCCCCTGCTTCCCGGGCGGCGCAGGGAGCACGGGCGCCTAAGGTCGGTCACCTGCCGGGAAGGGAACACGCGGAACAGACGCACGTGGGAGGGGCGCAGGTCCCGGGATCTTTCGGGACTGGAGAGTGGAGGAAGAGGTGGGCTCCGGGTTCGGACCTACCCTTCCCTAGCAGGGGTGAGGGAGTAGACAGGACGTTCCAGGTTTGCAACGACAGCACTCATCCTACCCACAACCGGCCCCACCCTCCCGGCCGCGCTGGTCTCCTCCCCCTGGACTGAAACCCGAGGACTCGCCGTGCCAGGTAGGCGGGACCAACTCGTCCAATACCTGTCGGTGAGAGCCGAGAGCCCTGCCCCGCCACATTGAGCGCAGAGCGGAGAGCCGGCACCGAGCGGGCCCGACTCGGGGCAGCACCACGGCGGGCCGGGCAGCAGTGGGCGCTCGCGATCCTCCTCTGCCCACCACGGTCTCCCTCAGGGCCCGGCCTCCTCTGTCCCCTCCTCCTCCTCCCGCTCCTCCTCCTGCTCCTCCCCTCCGCGGGATTGATCGCCGAGCCTCCCGCCTGCAAAGTCCTCGGCGCGCGGGTAGACACGAGCTGCCGCCACTGCCAGGTCTCAGTGGGTGCCCGCGCCCCTGCCTCGCTTGCCTGCCCCGGGGCGTCCTGAAGCTCGCTCCGCCGGCCGCTGGTGCTCGCCGGCGCTGCCCATGGCCCAGCCCGAGAGCAGACTTCGGGCGCCGGACCGGCTGGACCGCGGCGCGGCTCAGGTGAGTGCGGCGCGCGCGGGGCAGGGGCTGCCAGGCTGGGGAGTGGCAAGACGAGGGGCCATCGAGGTGCCCTGACCTGGCGTCCCAGATTTGGGGCAAGCTCAGAGCCCAAGGTGAGTCGAGGCTGGAGCAAGTGGAGTGGATGTAGGGTGAACAAGGAAGGGGAGACTCGGGGTTTTCCCATCCTCCTTACCTCCTGCCTTGACCCCTCAGCTCTGCAAGTCCCGAGGGACTGGTTTTTTTACGGGCATGTATCTGGGTTTTTGACTCTTAGTGGACTGGATTTTTTTCCTTTCCCTAGCAGAGTCGGGAGATTCTCTCCTGCCGGCCGCTTCTCCCCAGGATTGTGCCGGGCAGCGGGAGGGCAGAGCGCAGCGGAGTCCGGGTACCACTCCCGCTGGGAACTGGGGCAGGGATACAGTCAGCAAAAAGTCAGGCGGTCGAGGGAGCATCCAGAGTGGGGAAATCTTGGTCTGGTTTGCCTTTGCATTCGGTTGGAGTGGAGAAGAGATGGGGCATCTCCTGAGGGGCGGGGATGCTCGAAAGGAGAGAGATTGAGGCAACAGACAGTAAGTAGCCTCTTTTTCCGAATGCCAATTATACACGGTCCTGATTTTCCATGTTACTTATCACCTATTTTTTTTTCTGCCTCTGTTTCTATTTCGAGCACCATGGGTGGTGGTGGCGGATGAGGGTTAGGGGAGGCGGGGCGCCAACCCGCCATAGGAGCTCGTAGCACCCAGCTCAGAGGCACATCAGGGGCACACTCGCCGAGCCTGACGTCTTCAGGTGCGCTCCCGGAGCCACGGGCGGACCACGCGCTGCTTCCCCTTCTGGCCCCAGCCTGTCCCGGGAGCCGGACGGCCGGCTTCGAGAGCCAGCGATGGGATGGAGAAGCGGGCGGGAGCAGGAGCCGGGATGCAGGGCGCGCGATGTGGGGTGTGCTCAGCCCCGCGGTTTGTCTCCCGCACTGGGCATCTTCCATCTCACCCTTTCCGCCTGGCGGGCGTCCGCGCTTCCTCGCACATGCCCCTCTTTCGCGAGGGGGGTTGCATCCCTCCTCCTCCGCTCCCCACTTTGCAGGACCAGTCTTATCCTTGCCTTGCCTTGCGCGAGTCTCGCTCCTCCCCCTGCGTTATCCGCCGGCTATTTTTATCCACTAATTGTACTGAGATGTTTTTTTGGGGGGGATTCTGGGGAGCGACTCCAAATCCACTGTCTTCGCGCTGCGCTTCCAGAAGCGGTCCCCTGCTAGCAGGGAGCAGCCACAAAGAGCGGCCAAGGGATCGTGGAGGGAGTGCGCCCGCTCCTCCTCCTGCAGCCAGAGCTCTCAAAACCTCGGTGCCGCCGGTTCGCTGTGCCGCCCGCCGTCCGCCGGCTTCTGTGGCTCCAGCCCGTGCGCACTTAGGATCTTCTCGGTCCCATACATGCGTTCTTGCTTTGCAGCCGATCTCACCTGGTTTTGTTGAAATGAAATTACCAACTTCCACTCAAGGGTTAATTCCAGAAATTCCATCTTAAAAAAAAAGGAAGAGATAACGCAACTTCTGCCTCCCTGCATTTCTAAAGCACATCCTTTGGCTTTCAGAATTATTATTCTTGCTTTCTGCATTCTCAGTAAGGATTGGGTCCAATTACAATAAGCCTGACCTAGTGAAATTCCAGGAGATGAATGCTTGAGCTGCAAATCTCCGTGTTACTCTTTGTATTTCCAGTGCTTAGATTTTTTTCCTTCCATGGGATTGCAGAAATAACATATTGTAATGGACCATTGTGTTACATAAGGTTTTCTCCAGCGCTAGGCAGAAAAGATCAGCTTCTAAAGGAGCCTTTCAGGGCTTCAGCGCGTCGCTCTAACTCAGCTGAGTTTGCCAGGGATCGACAACTTCGTGACTAAGCATTCTTAAGTCAAAGCAGTTAATTGCGACAGTAGCATCAAGTGAGGATACCTTAGTAAGTGGTCTTGAGCTGCGCGTCTGGGCTGCGGATCCAGGCTGAAGCTGCCTGGTGTACAATGCACTATAGCTTTAAGATGGGAGATTTTTTTGCTTGGGAAAACGGTGAGAAAGTGGTGCCTTGAACTTGCAAATGGGATCAGGAAAAGCCCAGGTCTCTTAGCTTTCTTGTTGGTATGGCTAGCAGGAAGCCTCAAGTCCGCCGCTGTGTAGATGTTCAGGAACCCTTTACTTGGACTCCACAATATAGTTGGGGCTTGTGCTTTTGTTGTCAAAGGAAGAAATTCCCTTACTGGAAAAGTCTCGAGAGCTCTTTGAATGGAAAAGCAATATGGAGGCTTTTATCTTGAATTAAAATTTGATGGTGACCAGAAAGGGGCTAGACATATGGACTGGCTGGTGTAAAATTGCTTGATTGGTGCATACTGCCTTTCCCAGACTAGGGCATCTACCCAGAGTGGCACACACCCACCGTGAGTACTGAGTCATATTATCTCTATTGAGGCTAGAGTTTAGAGAAACAGACAGTAAGATGTATTGACGTCCTGTTGGAACTGAGTCTGTATCCAGCATCAGGGCTCAGACATCTGGGTCCAGGGCATGTGTCTAAGCCAGGGTCCCTGTGTGAGAGAGAGTCTTAGAGAAGTGAAGGTGATGCTGGAGAGTAGCAACTTTCTACGTGTTGTGTGGGAAATGCAGTAACTTTCCAGCTATCGCAGAAAGTGATAACTTTCCAGCTGGTATTGGAAAAGAACTGGGTTGTTCCGCATCGCTTTGGTGTAAGTATCTTCCTTCAGTTCCGCTAATGACCCAGTGCTTCCTAGCAGGGCTGCCCTTTTCCAGTGGGGGTAACGACAAGGGTGCTAGCTGGATTTGGAGCCAGCTTCTTGTCCCAGGACCCTAAGTAAATGATTTTTCCCTCTCCGAGCCTCAGATTCTTCCTCTGCCAAATAGAGATCGAAAGACTATTATAAGAAAGTGAGAAAATGTATGTGAAGGGCATTTTGGCAATTCTAAAACACTGGTGAAAAATGTACAGGGTTACTTAACTTGCTTTTCCTGCAAATTTCATTTGGTCTATTTTAACATTAATATTATTTCAGTTTGTGTATGTTTGTGTGAATTACATATGCTAAACATTAAATGAGGGAGAGGATTTCATATAATAGGCCAGTATCTCTTTGTGCTGCTCACTGCACCTGAAATCCACCAGCACCAGGCCTCCCTTCTTCTCAAAACCATTTGTTTCTTGTTTTCAGGATCAGAGTTAAATTTTTTTGGAGTTGTTTTTTTTTTTTTTTTTCTTTTTAGCTTAATGTATTTCATATGTCCTAGGAAAATATATGTTTGGAGGAAGGGCCCTGATATTGATTAATCAAAAAAGGAGGAAAGTTGCAGATGAGTGAATCGGTTGGGAAAAAGTGATAGATGATCAGTTTCAGGAGATGACTTGGGTCTCCCTTGTCTAAATCTGTCATCAGCATAAAGCACTGGCTCTCTGTTGCATTTTTGGTGTTCAAAATTTGTCCCCAGGATCTAGTTAAGTGCCTGGCACTTAGATGCTCAATAAGTATTTTTGAAATAAGTGAATGAATGATTGAACTAAATCTTCACATCAACTCTGTGCTGTGCACAGGCAGATAGCATCATTCCTATTTTAAAGACTTAGAATCTGCAGATCAGAAAAGTTAATTAATTTTCTGAAGGTACAGAGGATTCCAGATTGGAGTTCACATCTGTCTGTTCTCAGTTCTTTCCACTGTACTACTTATATTGTCCCCTCCCTTCCATCACCACTTAAAATCTTCCTAATCCATAGTGGACTTTTGCATTTTGGAAGGTGCCCAGCCACCAAACAGCCTTCTTATTCAAGGGGCACAGCTCTCCCCTCATGGAGGGACTTTTCGATGGGAGGTGGGGCTCTTTCTCTTTCGTCCATATCTCCAGGCCCTGAACTAGGGCTTAGTTGCATGATCCCACCTGGGACCTGGAATCTTGAGGGACTAACTAAAGTACTAAAGGACAGCTGAGTGTTTATTTGCCACCATGGATCATGAATCAAGTGGCGTCAGCAGCAGCATCCGTGTCCCAGGATGTCCCAGGAGTGCTGGCCCCTTGGCATGATCCTGACGTGTTTCCTGGTGCCCAGGGTCACTTCATTTCTTTCTCATTTTCCAAGCCTGGCTTTTCAACTTCTCATCAATTCCTAGAGGTAACCCAAATCCACTATTCTCTCTGAGTTAGCCAGAATTGTAGCCAGATAGGCACAGCCTCTCATGATTCATCTTCAGGCCTGCCCCCGGCATGAAGCATTCTCAGCTTCCTCTGCCCACAGGGAATAAAGCTCATAGCTTTTTCAGGCTTTAGAATAATATTTACTGGGCCATAGTTTGTCAATAGTTATGTGGAACCATGAGAGTTCTGGAAAAATGAAAACATCATTCTTCCAAGGAGTAGCCCGAACATAATGGAAATAGATCCCAGTGGGCATCTTTTCTTTAACTTTTTTTTTCTCCATGTTGTGTGCTTTTTGGTAGCTGTCCAGCAGGGGTCACACACTCAAATGCCTTCAGAGGCCAGGCAAGTAACAGCCTGAGTGAAGCAGGCCCCTGGGCCTGTGCCCCGGCAAGGGGGGCCCTATAGCTCAGACCCAGCACAGGAGTGGCCAGTGGGACACAGGCCCAGTCTTGCCACATATGTGTTGGTTTTCTTTCAAGATAGGCTGTAAGTTCACAGTTTTATGTAGAATCTACTGACTTTTAAGTACCAATAGCTAATTAAATATTTTTAAATAATACCACGTGGGCCAAATAAAACACTTCTGTACATAGGCATCATATCTGTCCCACAGGCCTCCGATTTATGGCCTCTGGTTTCTGGGGATGGAAAAGAAATTGGTTGGAATATGAGATTCAGTGGAGTCAGTTACCCGGAATATCGAGGCAAGGCTGTGTCAGGAGTATAGTGTAGACAGTGTTCCAGTGAGTTAACCTTCACATTTATGGAATATTTGTCGTGGTGTTCCTTCTCCCTGTCCTAGTAAGC